CTATGTGCCTATCTTTTGATATTACCTATCACATGAGGAGTTGGCTGAGGCCGAAGTCTAAGGGACATATTTGCCTGGAGAAGTCACCCCAATCCTGATTCAGTCTGAAACTTCTATTATCCTACCATTAAAAAGAAAAAGGGAATTTTTGTCTATCAAAGGCAGATTTGAGCTTGCTTACTAACATCCATTCAGGAAATAGCAAAGAATGAAATAGAATCAGAATATTTAGAAAAGATGATTATTTAGTATGTAGTAAGCTGCCATCGTTAGTAGATGTAAATTTCAGTGGATTAAAAAGAACTGCATTTTCTATTTTGGTGTTAAAGTGCTATTTCCAAAATTTTTTTGTAATAAAGTTTTAGGAAGAATCTTAAATTTATTTCAGTTCTCACACACAAAACCCTGATTTGTCTTTTTCTTTTGTAAACATTTGTGCAGCAGGGAAGCTCTTTACGCTTCAATTTTGGTCCACAGTTATTGGTTAGTAGGTTTGAAAATAAAGGCGTTCGGCTGCTTCTGTGGGCCTTCCTGAATTTCTCGTGCTTTCTACAGACCATCTTTTCATATCCACCCAAAAGCCTTTAGCCTTTACCCAAAGCATTGACTCCACTCTAGATTCCCTGCACATCTAGAAGTCCTGTAAGATTTTTCTCTCTTTGTCCATAGGATTTGGCATAGGGCCTGGTGCATGGTGGATTCCCCAATAACTTAAACAGTTATGTTTAATAATCAGTAAAGTAGGGGTGGTTCTCAAGGTAGTCTCAGCATTTCTTCAAGCCTGATAACAATCATGTATTTGCCTTAAATTAACTTCTTTTGACTTAAGCTAATGGAGTTGAGGAAGGAAATAAATCCAGAATATCTAAATCTTTCTTTATGATGTGGGCATTTTGCATATTATCTGTAATTTAAAACATTGAAAATTTCTAAACCAAAGTTAGTAGCACTGGTTTTTTCTTGTTTTATTAGAAGTTCTGATTGGCAGGTCTACATGTCTAATTAATAAAAACGAGAGAGTGAAATTATTACAGGAATGCTAGTTGTTGGACATCCTTCCAAAATGAGATCTGGGGAGGGGCATCTGCTGGGAATGGAAGTTGCCTGAGATAGCATAATGATTAGGAACCACGAATGCCTACTGGTTCTGGACTATTTAAAATTCTTTTGGGAGTCTAAAAGTATGTACTCTCTTTCCGGAAAAAAATGCACATATATACTTAAAAATTTTTATATATAATTTCAGAGGATTCAGGACTCTCTGAAACCTGTCTTAGATCTTTTTGTATGCAAGTGGAAAATTATGAGAGATGATTTCTCCCACCCACACCTCAATATATACGCACAATTGAAGAGTATTCTGTAGCTTCGCAAACAGCTTATGAAAGGGCTTTCTAAAGTTTAACTGTCACTGCTCCAGAAAGGCAATATCTTAACAGTGGCAAAGGCTACAGGCTCTGGAACCAGTCTGGATTCAGATACTGATTTTTCTACAACGGCCTGTGTGACCTTGGGCAAGTTGCTCAACCTCTCTTGTTTCCCTAACCATAAAATGGAGTTTTGTAAGGACTGCATGAGTTAATACATGGCAAGTGTTTAGAACAGATAGTGGCACTCAATAAGTCTTAGTTGTTGTTATTTAGTATTTTTATCTCAGAGGGTTAGGTACTCTTAAATACCTGGCTGTGTGAATTTCTCTGGGTTGTATCTTGCCTGGCAGGAGGGTGCCTTTTTCTAATTTGCACAAAGGCACCATATGAAATAACAACATCCTTGCCCACAGATGCCCGCCTTTGTGGAATATGCCAAGATAAACTTTCTTTTTCATACCAGCATTAGGTAGGCCTCTTTACCTTATTTCTGGGATGAGATAGTTGCTAACAATTGAGAAAGACGAAGATCTATATCCTTCTGTAAGGCTTCTCTTTTCCTCGGTGTGTCAGTCACCTGCTTTGCCTCTGAGCGGAGTAACTGCTTCTGCTCTTTTTGTCCACAGTGTGAAAGTTTGGTTTTCCTATTAGTCTCTTTTTCTAGTCCATTGCATTTCCTCTCTACTCTTTTTTTTTAATTATAAAATATTGAATCGCAACTATGTAAGCTATCAGGATTTATGATACAGTGAACAATCCTGTACCTTCACCTAGTTAAAGAAAAAACATTTCCGATTATCTGTAAATGCTCTGTATACCTGCCCATCCCATCCCCTTCCCTCTCTCATCAAAGGTAATAATAATCCTTGTGCTTATCCTTTTCTTTTTAGCTTTATTGCATATTTATTCCTAAACAATATATTGAAACTTTATGTAAATGCAAACTATATAATTGTGTGTGCTTGTGTATTCTTCTGCTACTTGCTTTTTATTTTTTAGCTCCATATTCTTGAGTTTCATCTATGTCTGTATGTACAGTATTCCATCATATGGCAATACCTCAATTTATTTATCCATTCTCCTGTTCACGGACAGTTTGGCTGTTATTTTGCTATTACACAAAGAACTAGCATGAATATTTTTATTCATGTTTTTAAATGCACATGTGCAAATTTCTCTAGGGTATATAGCTAAGAGTGGAATTACTAAGTTACAGGAGATGCACACCTTCAGCTTTACTAGATAATGCCAAATTAATTCCAAAATGGTCGTAGTAATTTATGCTCTTGTCGTTAGGGTATAAGGATTCAAGTTACTCTTTTTTCGTGCTGGTTATTCATTCAAGAAGTGTTTATTGGGCACGTACCGGCAGTAAATAAAAAGACAAAAAGGACTACTCTCGAGGAGTTTATATTTTAGTAGAGATAAATAGCTAAAATACGTAATATATCAAAATGGTATATGTGTAATGGGAAAAAATCAGTAAAGCAAGAGGAGGGGATGTCATCCTCTTACTCTTAGAGTAGTGTAAGGATTAGAGACTAAAGGGATGAGGTATAAGCAGGAAGCTCTGGGCTTCGTGTGGTGATCGACATAAACAGGGATATAGGTATGATGAGACTGGTTGGTTGTGATGCTCTCAAGCAGATAATGGTAGTGAAGCTGTGAGTGTGGGGGAGTGGAGTTTGAGAATCTGGCCAGGAGCATTTTCGGGAGGCCCTCTTTGCTCATCCAGTATTGATAAGTCTAAGGAATGAGTGAGGAGGCTGGTAATAGGTGATCTTATTCTGCACACTTAGTGCTTTGGGGCCCTCTTTTGACTCTTGCCCAAAGTTTGGAGAGGACCAGGGGAGGGGTGGTCTTGTCTGGAACATGTGGAACACTAGGGTTCTGTTGATTCAGGAGTACTTGGAGCTGTAGTGTTTGCTTGACTCTTGAAGTTGGAGAAATGGAGGTTAGGGGAAGGGCGGATTTATTCTGAGCATTTGGAGCTTTAGGGCTTCCTCTTAACCCTGTCCAATGAGATGTGGAGTCCTGGGGGAGGGTTGGTTTTGTCTAGAGCATGTAGAGCCCCCGTTGTCAAACTTGTTAATTTTTGCCAGTCTGGTGGATGTGAAATAATATCTTGCTGTGGTTTTAATTGCATTTCCCTTTTTCACTGTAAAAATCCAAAATTCTGTATCTTTTCAATATCAGACTTAGTCATATAACTTTACTACAAACTTTTGTGCTAAACCCCATGAGCATGTGGGTTTTATTCATCATTTGTCTGTCCCATGTACTAGATACTCAAGATTTCCCAACTCAGCAACTGAAACTTTTACTCTGGTGGCTCTTGTCAATAGACCCTCAAAGAAATCTGTTATGCCCTGTGTTGTCACCACACGGGTCGTTCAGTCAAGAACCCTACCTTCTCTTCCCTCTGCTAGAGGAACTGAATTGATAGCCCTCACCCATGCATTGTTACCTAACCTCAAAAAACACATCAGTATATCTACACCAACTCTCTCTCACCTCGTCTGGGGCTCCCATCAAAATATAGGCCCCATGTTGCAGCACCGTCAGAGGCTCTTCTTCAGTTGCCCTTTAAACTTGCCATTTTAAAATCTGAGAATCACAACTACTATTGATAGTCTCTAAGGAAAATGCTTTGGCTTACCACAGCTAAGGCTCCCTCTGCTTTTCAGGCCAAATCTTTATACAGTTTTAACACTCACACCTTCCCCGTGTCCCTTTGCGGTCTCACAGGATGAAGCCTCAGAATTCATGAAAAGAACACTGGAGAAAGGCAGGGTATACATTGTGCTCTGATGATCTATGGCGCTCCCTGAGTGGTTGCGTAGTTAGTCCATACATCCTACTACCCTACCTTGTTTACTTGTTAGAGTCAGTATCATGAAGGAGTAAAAAGGTGACGATAAACATCTGCAAATTCTCACTGATTTACTGTGTATTTTCCAAGAATTGCTCAGGACTGTGCTGTACTTGCCTTCTTAAACTTACAATGTGAGTAAACCTATAAAGATAGATATGGACAATGAGACATACCCCTCTTGGTTTCTTTTTCAGCCTTCAAAAGGATTTTGTCCAACTTCCTATGGTTAGCTATTAAGAATACTATCTAGTAATTCTGTAAGCTTTTTTCTGGATGTATTGAAGTCTATTATGAAAAGGTTGTCACCATTGTTAATGTTATCCCACACATTATGGGAATAGCATATATGGCATCCATTTCACAGAAAAGATATACAAAAAATCTCTAAGTTTTACCAGGTTAAACATAATTATACAGACCTTATTATTCCCAAAGTGCAAAAGGAGTAGAAAAAAGAAATATAGTCCTAAAAAGAATTAAGCTAGTACAAATCTTAAATGAACCAAAACCCTTCCTAGTGCCTAAATAAGCATAAGAATAATTCCCAATGGATAATTGGTTTTAACCCATATGAAATTGTCATGGGGAAACCCATGAGACAATTCTCATCCGTCTTGACTGACCCAAATGATTTCCAAATGCATGTTTCTAATAATATTGTGAGCAACTCAAAGCCCATATGAGTCGTCTGAAGTTTTATCATTTACAGGTATGTGAAGCATTCCCAGACCCTCCAACCAAGTCAGCATCAGCTACTTCTCTGTGACTGGGTCCTGATTAAGGTCCTCCTACGAAAGACTTCATTGGATCCACGCTCAAGAAGATTCGACCAGGTTTTCCTGACCCCCCTACATCGCTGTAAAGTGCCAAGGCCTTAAGACTTGGGTACGTGTATTACAACGGCAAGAGTGCCAGCGCCCACAAAAGACCCATTGGACCTGTCAGCTCCTCTGTTTCAGCAAGCAGACATAATAACTTACTGGCAAAGCAGAGTAAGCCAAGTGTCTCTGCATCACACCACCAACTGATAACACACAAGAAAAAATAACTAATTTAGACTAGAGCCCTATCTTTTCTTATGAAGCTGGGATTTGAAGGAGCTATTCTGAGATCTGTGCTGCTAGTAAGTGACTGATAACATTATAGACTGGATCGGTCCCTGAGTTCAGAGACTGAGTTGCGATTGAGTGAAAAATAGACAACGAAATCTTGAAGAATTGCACGGAGGTGCAAGCCAAATTTAACCCTCTCCAAGTAATGTTGGTTGGACTGAGAAATTGCTAAACCAAACCTGTAATAGGACTGGTTATTTGGGTGTCTCTCTTTGTCATTGTTGCCTCTTAACTGTTACATTGCTTTCTGTGTTGTCTCTCTAGGCCCAGATGTTCTCAGATAATTCACATTGCCCTGACTGTGGGCAACAGTGGTTCCCTAGTTTAGAACTAGGCCATTGGTTGTACCAAACTGAGCTTATTGAAAATGAATGTTACCAAGTATTCTTAGACCGTATTAACAGAGCTGATTACTGCCCTGAGTGTTATCCTGATAATCCTGCTAATAGAAGCCTTGTTCTGCCTTGGTCTTTCCCACTCGAGTGGGCTCCCCAAAATCTTACCAGGTGGACCTTTGAAAAAGCTTGCCACCCATTTCTTCTGGGTCCTCCACTGGTTAGAAAAAGGATACATGACTCTAGAGTAGCTGGCTTTAACCCTGCATTACAGTTAATCTTGACCAGAACAGACAAAACCTTAAACAAAAAACTTGGCCAAAACAAGTAACTTCTTAAATGGTCAAAATCATGGAGACTTTAGAGGATTTCGTAATAGTAGCCTAAGGAAGATAGAAAAGTGACTCCTTTCTAAATCTGATCCAGACTGTCGCTACTTTGGGGAACTGCTTAAACGGTTGGATCTGCCTACATGGTCTACGCATATATTGTTCAGCATGATTTTAATCAGTGTTGCAGCCAGACTGTTCGTGTAGATCCAGACTAATCCATGCTTCCTATATTTTGGAATTAGTTTACTCCTCCTAAAAAGCTCCAAAGCCTAATTGTTGACATATGACAAAGTTGACCTGAAGGAGAGGCCCCATACCGTGTGCACTGTAATGGTATTTCTAGTGTTAATTTTTGTGGGAAAGGATCCTCATTGTAGCTGGATTCTAGATTATTCCAGTAAAACAACTAGACATTATAAGAAGAAACTACATTGTTCTAACTTCCACCTCTTATACATTAATCAGTGATGATATATATATATAAATATAATTTATTCATATATAACCATTTATTCATTATTGGCTCTGTTTGGCCCATCCTCAGTGTGGCTTCAACATTATCAATAACTGGTCACTGTCAGAGTCGTCACATTCTATCAGGCAATATCTACATAGATTACACAGAAACATTCAGAAATGCCACTGAATGCACTTACTTGGCTCTACATAAACAAAGACTGTACTGTCTTTGTGGTGACTGAACTTAGAATGTTCTTCCCTGGAAATGGGAAAGTACCTGTACTATGAGATAGGTGACAAAAGGAGTTATCAAGCTCAACTCCATATATGTTATGAACAGTGTAGGGGAAGCATCTTAGAACTAAGAAGGTCTTGCCGGACATCAGCCACATTCTGGTCTTCACTTGTTTGTGAGAATCATGGAGCCAGAGTTCAGGTTAAGGAACTTAGAAAAAGCTATTGAAAACATCCCAGAGGCCACTGAACAATGTTAAAATTCCACTTAAGATGCTAGATAATCCAGTGCTTGTGTAGCAACCCAATGTTCTCAAGGTCTCAGATTCCTTCTTTCCTTCCCCGCTGAGATTCTTATCATGTTGGCCTCTGTCCTCATAGCTGTTTCCTCAATGAGTACAATGTGGCTTGTTGCTGCTCCAGACATTTCAATCCCAATCAAAGGCTGAAGTAGGGAACAAAAAGCTTTCTCCTTTCAAGTCTCTGTCTTTTATTTGGGAAGAATATCTTTCTCTAAAGTCCCTTACGGGTTTCTTCTTACATATCGCTAGAAGATACTGGTTCACAAGGAAGCCTGGCCAAGGGGAATGGGGTTGGCATTGGCGGGTAGGGCACATTGTCTCTCCTAATAAAATTAGGGCTGTTTTTGGAAGGAAGATGTGAGAAATGAATGGCTGTTGGTATGCAACAAAGTATGCCCGCCACATGTTGTGAAACCTAAAGTTATTTGTTAGTCTGTATAAAGAATGGAGCCCAGAGATCTACCCTGTATCTGCCTTATGTCTATCATGATATGAAGTTCTCTTCTGTTATATTGCTGAATAAACTGTGTGGACTGCTAAATTGAGTGAAGACTAGTTAGTTTATCCTTAACCCTTGGCTAAGAACTCCTTCACTATCCTAAAGCTCTTTCTAAAAAGTGAAAATTTGCTTTGAGGTGTTGTGTTTGAGGATGGTGTTACGATCAGTATTTTTCAGACACATACTAAGAAACACTCTACATATGGGCAATTTTAAATATCAGCAAAATAGAGAGGGGTTGTTTTGTTTTTGTTTTAACCAATCTCTCCTTTAAATAGTAAGAACAAATTAAATGAATTTATATCATTGATTCTTAAATCAATACCTGGAGGAGCTTGTCCAAACATTCAAATTTCTTGATCTTAGAGAAATTTTGATTCCTTAGGTTGCTCGGGGCTCAGGAGTCTGCATTTTATAAACAGTGCCTTCAGACATTGTTCTGCAGGTGCTCTGTGGACCGTACTTTGAGAAATACAACAGCAACACATCCATGGTGTTTATCTGGCTTAAAAGCATGAGAACTGAGTACTCTTAATACTGCAAGGCAGTGGTAGATAATTTACTTTGCTAGTGACACACAAAGAGGTTTCACCTCAGACTGAAGGTTACTGTTGGTATTTCACGTTATAACTCTGTCACATTTTTCTCATAATTAAAATAATTGGGACTGTTGTAGCCCTCCCCACCAACAGGTCTATGTGATGTCATTATAAGCTATGTGAATATATGGGCAAGAGAAAATCAAAATACTGATTTTAATATTACATTAAGAAGAATACTTTGCCTTCAGACATGATTATATTATCACATACCTGTTATATGGTCAGCTCTTAGAAATAACATCGTGTGTAGAGTTCATAAAATAGAGCAAGGGAGAAAATTTAGAAAGCTTTGTAGCTTTTCAGCTTAGATCTTTTTAGTATGACTTCACTTAGCTTAAAATATTGCATATTATTCTAGAATACTCCACTACCTAGTTATGAATAGTGAATTTTAAAGTTTAAGTATGTCCCTAAAGTTCTCACGACAAATGACCTGGAAGATCTTATCCACTATTTTAGATGACGTGAGCCATATTAATCTCCACTTTCATGCTATGGAAGAGTTGATAATATTACACATAGTGGTAGCCATTCTCCAGTGAGTTTTATAACTATTTCCTGTTATTTTACAGCAGACCTGGGAGAGGAAGGTTAATGGAAACATACTGGGGCAGGCTGGGAAGAGGAGGCTACTAGAAAGGAGGTCTGCCCCTGGGTTGTGGGTGACTGAGTTAAGATTCATCTCTAGGTTATAAGAGAAGGAAGGCCAGGCAAGCAGGCAGGCAAAAAAGAATTCCATGGCATCCTAAGAGTGTGTGGCAATCAGTGTGTTAGAGATATCTGTGAAAGTGAGATGAGCCATACCCCTTCCATCTCTTCATTCTCCCCCAGCAGCCGTGAGTCTCCATGGAATCTTGGGAACACAGCTTGTTATAGAGGAAAAATAATGGCCTTGCAGCCAGCTCACCTGGGTTTGTCTTCTAATTCTAAAATTATTAAATTACCTTGGGCATCTTAACCTCTCTCTGTCCAGTTTCTTCATCTGTGAAATAGGTAGTGTATTAATACCTACCTCATACTATCGTGGGCTTTAACTGCGATAACGTATGCCAGTTGTATGGCACGTAGTAAATTTTTAGGACTAGGAAAGGTACGGGAGAACAAGGCAGAAGTTAAAGCCAGGGATAAGGTAGAGTCTTAGTTTCAGAACAGAGATTAAAGCCAATTGTTAGAACTTGATGCTGAATTATCCCAAACTTCTTAAAGCCCTTCCAGTGAAGGACGAGATTAATCTTGGGACGGCGGTTGAGCCTGTCATGAGTCAAATGGCCTTACATGTAAAGATTAAGAGGCCTGGAGGGACAGATGACCTGAGGCCAATGCTTGTCATGTTTTTTAGGCCTGTTTATAATCATAAGTATAGTACATGTAATTGCTGCTTGATTTATTATATCACCTGAGACTTTTCACACGCTGAGATAAGCAGTTTGAGAAAAGTTGAAGGATATGTGCAGATTCTGCACATATGTGCTAGAGTCACATATGTATGCTAGAGTCACAGTTCAAACCTAGGTTCAGGGTGCTTTGTGGTATTTTCACTGGAAGCTTTTTTTTTAGTGTCATGGTTAAAAGCTTGGGTCCCACAGCCAGCCTACCTGAGTTCAAATCCTCTCTCTGCCTTTACTGCCTGTTTGTTCTTGGGTAAAGTTCTTAACCTCTCTGTATCTGGGTTTCCTTGTCTGTAAAATAGTAGGAACATTAATAGTCCGTACATCCTAAGGTTGTTGTGAAGATTAAATGAGTTAATACGTAAAGTGCTTTGCTGCCTGGCACAAGGAAGGCCTTCAATAAATGTTAGCTATTACTGTTGTGTATGTTTCATATGTTGTTTGTCTCCACAGCGGGATTGTAAACTGAGGGCCGAGATACCTGCTTTTTATCCCTAGAGCCCCAAATGGCATCATTTACTAAAATAAAAGATGGTTAAAAATAGAAAAAGATATGTACTTGTTGGGCCCTGACTCCCATCCATTTGTCGTGATGACATTTATATCTAAACTACCATCCTGG